CGATTATATCTGACTGTGGTAGTGAATCATATGCAGTGTCAGAATACATTGATCATTTCTTACTACCTCTAGCATGCCAACATCGCGCCTACCTTAAAGACACAACCGATTTTGTCAATAAAATAAAAAAATCTTCGAGTTCCCTCTAATGCTATTTTAATTTCTATCATACCACTGTCTTTAAGGGAGATTCCATAGCAGAAACAAATAAACTGGATATTAAAGTGTATTTCAAAGAAACAGATACTCATCAACTCTTGCACAAGAGCTCCTTCGTCGGGTCTGTTTGGATCTGGGTTTTTATTAAAAGCTTTACGAACTGCCGTTAGACCAGTGTTATCGATATTGGTATACATAGAAGAAACGTCGAGAAAGTCTATGCTTTTGTCACTCACGTTTGCGGTTAGTTTGATAGAAGAAGGATGGTGGTTGTTGAGAATTTCACGCGAATTTAAACGTGAAGTCAAAATTAGAGACTGATTTTAATGAAACATGGTGTTATCATGTATATTGATACGATAATTTGATGTATTTGGGTTATTGATATTAATATTAAATTTATTTAATATGAGAAAATTCATACTAATAAAATTCATACTTAAGTCCCTAAAGAGTGTTTTATCATTTCTGACAGCTGCCAGTGGGCGTATGTTACCTTGCCTGGCAAGCTATCTTTAATTGAGAAATTAGTAAAAAAAAAGAAACCATTCATAGTATCACACAATATAAAATAATAATTAACATTTTAATGAAAATTTTCTGTTGTGTTTCAACTAGCTGGAGTGAGTAGAAAGGTTATATAAGTTAAAATATTGAAAGAAAACAAAACGGATCGACTTCAACACAAAATAATATCAAATCAGGAATTAGCTTAATATAATAACAGAACAGGATAAGCCGATCGCACTGTTTTTGACTTATTCTCTTTATACTCCGGACTCAATGTCGTTAACGTGTATGATGCGATTTTCTCAATGCAATAGAAAATAGAAGCGAATAACCGAGGCACGGGTCCACAAAAAAGTATATTATTGTTGCCCAAAATATATTTTCAGCTTTAACATCATTTAATGGAATTTCCCTAAGCTTAGTTTATATATTAAAAACATGATATATATCAAAATATTGCTTACATAAAATGGTGTCGCCTCAGTTATATACCCTCAGAATACATTTAAGTAGTTAAGTCGTAAGAACCGTGGTATATATACTCCTAAACTAATAAACTAGCTCCTGTAATCTTGTGTAATATAACAACTGGTGACAAACAGTAAGCTCATAACGTTGATCCATGTTACATGATTGAATGAAGAATAAAAACACCCATGAGGACTATTATGCAATGATAAGTATAAATAAGTGGTGATTCAATACATTTTGGTTAATTGTAAGATTTGATCACTTCTTCTAAATTACATGCAAACATCCTGCAGTACAGACCAGCTAGACACTCCCTGACTAACTAAATACAGGAACAACCCCTACAATGCTACACAAGCGCAATCGCCTTAACGTACGATATGTTATCAAAATCAGTTTCGATAAAGACTTACCGATAATCTTGATAAATAGTGCAGATATATCCTGAGATTAACACTAATAAACTAATCCTTAAGATAAACAAATATAACAGAGTTTTTCTGATAAAACCATATTATTTGTTCAATTAATTCCATTCTCAAGTGTATATACCAAATACTTATAATTAGGAAATACACAATTAAATTCAATAAAACCATGGTGAAACATATATTTTGGTTTGGGGAAAAAGTCTGAGACTAAAAGTGCTGCAGCAGGCAGAGTTTGCACGGTAGGAACATGAAATTTGGAACATAACAATTTCAGATGGGATGCAGTCCAAATTTCAGCTTTACATCTCTGATAGTTTTCCCAGGGCAGCCTGTTAAAGTTTTGGTCTTCACCCTAACCTTTGCAACTAGACTGTATAGGCTGCCTGCGACACCCCCCCCCCCCCCCCTCCTCCTGCGGCACTAAAACGGCCAATTTTTTTCAAACTTTTGATGGTTGGATGGGAAGTACTTGTAGTCAAAGTAACGTACTTTAAGCACTCAAATATGAATAAAATTCAGTAGAATATTTTTAGTTTGGACAGTTAAGTAACAAGTTTAAAGACACAAGCTTACAAGTGTATACAGCAATACAATTCAGTTATCGCTTCTTGTTCTATAGAGTAGACACGAAGATCACTGATATTTGTCAATAATCTAATTATGTATAACATTTAAAAATATAAAACATTTATTCTTTTTCACCTTGTGTAGTCTGTAAAAAAGGGAAGTATGGTGCTGGATGTTTAAAACTATGTTCAGATAGAAATTGTTCAGTAGAAACATCACTATGTAACCATGTCAATGGTAGATGTATAGGTTGATGTAAAGAAGGTTTTGGGGGAATTGACTGTGTTAAAAGATGTGAAGATGGTGTTTATGGAGCAGGATGTAGTAAGAAATGTTCAGATAGAAATTGTTCAGTAGAAACATCACTATGTAATCATATCAGTGGTAGCTGTATAGGTGGATGTAAGGAAGGTTTTGGGGGAATTGACTGTGTTAAAAGATGTGAAGATGGTGTTTATGGAGCAGGATGTAGTAAGAAATGTTCAGATAGAATATGTAAAGATAATTTACAATGTGACAGTAAAACAGGAGAATGTATTGATGGATGTCAAATAGGATACCAGTCGATAGATTGTACACAAGGTAAAATTTTGAACTTAATTACTGCA